GCGGTGTTGCGATCACCTTGCATATGCGAGGCTCTGTTTGGCAGTATTGAGAGGCGTTTTCTTCTCACGTTCTGTCATCTCCTTCGCCCCCTGCCATTCGAACACATCAATTAAGTAAGCGTTTCGCACGAGACATCCCCTACAAATGCTTTCCAGGAGGTCTTCTAAAACGTACCAGAGCCTCTTCCTCCTGTGAGTGAATGCGTGCCATCGAACGCGCCTGCGAACACATGAAAATTATATGGCGATGTCGGTGCCCGGGGAGAAGTTATATGGCGATTTCTGATGCGGATGAGGAGGGGGAGGAGGATGAGGAGCAGGATGAGGAGGAGGATGAAGGAGGAGGAGGAGGAAGGAGGAGGAGGGAGGGAGGAGGAGGAGGAAGAGGAGGAGGAGGAGGAGGAGGAGGAGGAGGATGACGAGGACGAGGAAGGAGGAGGAGGAGGAGGTTTGTGGGAATATTTTGGAGTCTCTTGGAGCATATTGGAGTTTTTTTTTAAAACCCTTTCGGGGCCTCTTGGGGCTTTTTGGGCGCCTCTTGGAGTTTCCCGGAGGGGATGGAAGAGACATCGGCAGCTGAGGAGGGGGATATCAGGAGGAGGAGGAGGAGGATGACGAGGAATTGGAGGAAGGAAAAGAGGGAGGAGGAATGGAGGAGAAATCTGCAGCTGAGGAGGAAGAGGAGGAGGAGGAGGGACGAGGAGGAGGAGGATGAGGAAGAAAAGGAGGAGGATGAGGAAGAGGTCGGAGGAGGAAGAGGAGGAGGATGAGGAGGAGGAGGAGGAGGAGGAGGAGGAGGAGGAGGAGGAAGAGGAGGGAGGCAGGAGGAGTAGGAGGATGGGAAGGAGGAGGAGGAGGAGAAGGAGGATGAGGAAGAACAAAGGGGAGGAGGAGGAGGAGGAGGACGAGGAGGAAGAGGAGGAGGAGGAGGAGGACAATGGCGAGCTGGGGGGCCTCTTCGGAAAGAGAGTTTTGAGGTTCCTTGGGAGCTTGGGGCGCTCTTGGGGCGCTCTTGGGAGCTTTCCAAGCGCTCTTGGAGCCATCTTGGAGGGGATGAATCAAAGAAGGGGAGTCGCTCATTAGCGCTGCCCCTGTAGAGTGCCTCGAATCGCCTCGTGGACTCCACCTGAGGCAATATTGGAGCGCTCCTGGGCGCTCTTGGGGCCGTCTTGGAGCTCTCTTGAGCTTCTCTTGGTGCCTTCTTGGGCCATCTTGGAGCCATCTTCAGGCCTAAGCAAAACACGTTGATTTTCTAAAGTTTGGGATGGATTTTGGCATCTTGGGAGTCTCTTGGGATCATCCTGGAAGCCTCTGGGGCGCTTCTTGGAGCCTCTTGGGGCCCCTTTTTGGGCGAGCGGGGGAGCATGCAGAAGAACAAAGGGCGGGGTGAGCCGCCATATACCCCAAGAGGGGGAGGATGTAGGAGGAGCCGTCGTCGTCGGAGTAGGAGGAGGAAGAGGAGGAGCAGGAGGAGGAGCAGGAGGAGGAGGAGGAGGAAGATAAGGAGGAGGAGATGGAGGACTGCGAGGACGAGGGGGACGAGAAGGAGGAAAAGGAAAAGGAGGAGGAGGAGGAGGAGGAGGAGGGGGAGGGGGAGGAGGGAGGAGGAAGAAAAAGAGGAGGAGGAGGAGGACAATGGCGAGCTTGGGGGCCTCTTGGGCCGTCTTTGGAGCCTCTTGGCGGTCCCGGGGGCCTCTTGCGTATCTCGGGGAGCCTCTTGTGGCCTCTTGGGGGTCTCTTGGGGGCCTCTTGGAGGCCTCTTGGGGGCCTCTTGGGGCCTCTTGGAGCTCTCTTGGGGCGCTCTTGGGGCGCTCTTGGGAGCTTTCGACGCGCTCTTGGGGCCATCTTGGAGGAGATCTATCAAAGAAGGGGGGGTCCTCAATTAGCGCTGCCCCTCTAGAGTGCCTCGAATCGCTTCTTGGGCCCTTCTTGAGGCCAAAATCTTTCCAAAACCTAGGTAAAATCAATGTTTTGTGTTTTCTCGCCTTTTCGCTCTTGGAGCCGTCTTGGGCCGTCTTGGGAGCCTCTTGGGCCTCTTGGAGGTCTCTTGGGAGCCTTTTGGAGGCCTCTTGGGCGCCTCTTGGGGCGCTCTTGGGGCGCTCTTGGGGCGCTCTTGGGAGCCTTCGGGGCGCTCTTGGGGCCATCTTGGAGGAGATCGATCAAAGAAGAGGGGGTCCCCAATTAGCGTTGCCCCTCTAGAGTGCCTCGAGTCGCCTCTTGGGCCCCCCAAGAGGCCAAAATCCTTCCAAAACCTAAGTAAAATCATTGTTTGTTGCTTTCTCGCCTTTTCGCTCTTGGAGCCGTCTTGGGCCATCTTGAACTCTCTTGGGGCCTCTTGGGGGTCTCTTGGCAGCCTCTTAGAGGCTTCTTGGGGGCCTCTTGGGGTCTCTCGGGGCCCTCTTGGGGCGCTCTTGGGGCGCTCTTGGGAGCCTTCGGGGCGCTCTTGGGGCCATCTTGGAGGAGATCTATCAAAGAAGGGGGGAGCTCCAATTAGGGTTGCCCTTCAGGAGTGCCTCGAAGCGCCTCTTGGGCCCCCCCGAGAGGCCAAAATCCTTCCAAAACCTAGGTAAAATCAATGTTTTGTGTGTTTCTCGCCTTTTCGCTCTTGGAGATGTCTTGGGCCATCTTGGCCGTCCCAACGACCCGCGGAACGCCCCGTCCAGGTCAGTGGGGAGGGGTAAGGGGAGGGGTAAACCCCTCCCCGAAGGGGAAGAAGGGGGTTGGCAGAGGAAACTCCCTAAACCACCTACGCCCTAAAGGGCTGGTGGGATTCCATACTCGTGCTGTCGAGTTGGGTGTAGTCGACGTCGGTTTGTATGCTGTGGGTGATGCTCCCCGTGCAGTGTCCTATGTAGCCAGGTCGTTGTCCGTCGTAGTGGAATGCTGTGAAAGCCCATGCCGAGTTGTCTGTCGTTGCTTGTAGGGAGCCAACGGGGTAGATACGAAATGTTGAGCTGGAGTGGAGTGGGTGTGAGTAATATGGAAGCGCTGCTTGCGTGACAGGTTGTAGCTCGATGTCTGTGAGGTCGCGACGTAGGTGGATGCGCGAGTTGGAGTCTGCTTTTGAGCGGAGTAGGTGCTTGGGAATGGGTTTATTGATGCGATGCGTGCTGGGGCAAGGTATGTGAGGTAAGATATTGTTGGGACCTGGAAGGTTAAGGTAGCTTGTCCCACTCCTTCCACTCAGTGGAACGGGAGGTGGTGGAGCTGAGTCAGGTTGGGTGAAGCACTGAAAAGAGTGAGCCGGATCGGATGCTGTTTTTTTGTTGCGGTGTTCGCCAATCTGGAAAAGCAGGTATTGTTTGATTTGATATGTTGGTGCTTTCTTCGGGTACGTGTTGTGGTGCACTTCTGGGTGGTGAGTGTGATGCTTGAGGTCGGTCGTTGGGACTTGCTCTAACGCTGACTTTCCGCTGTAGGGCCTACTCTGTTGCTTCTGTGGGTTGGTGGAGTGCTTTATATTGCGCCGCAATTTTTCGTTGCTGGAATTTTTATGTATCGTGGTGTGTCACCAGGCGTCATATCGTGCGTAAGCGCTTTGCTTCTGTGCTCTGGTGTCCTTTGCTGCGGCGTACCTGTGGGGTCCATTTCGGTTGCTTTGGCTGGGGCAGATGTGGGTTGTGGTACGCTGGGCGTGAGTGGCTCGGTTGGTGTAATTGGTGCTACTTGAGTTGAGTCGATGGTCTGTGGTATTGCTTATCGAGTGGTTGAGTCGCGTATGTCGTCGTCGATGTGTATTGGCGGGTAGTCGGCAACCTCCGTGCTAGGTGTGGCTACTGTGCAGGCCGTGTAGTCGTTTTTAGCTGCCGTATGTGTTGTAGTCGTTCGTGCTGTGATTTTTGGTCGAGTGGCTGTCTCTTGATGACTGCTGAGTCGTGTCGTAAGTGGTCTGCCTTTTTTTCCAGCTTCCTCGACGGCCAGGACTCACGAGGCCAGCTTCCTGATGTCTGCTGTCTTGGATGTGGTCCATGCTCCCACTTCCAAAGGCGTAGCACCTGGTTTGTCTGTTGCCTGAACATCGTAAAGGTATGCTGGAGGAATGCTGTCTATGAGCGTCTTCGTCACTCTGTCGGCGTATGCTGCGTGGTCGGGGTTGGTACCAAAGCTGGGTTGTGGTGGTTGGTCGTTGTGCCGGTTGTGCGCTCGGTCTTGTTGTTGGTGGGCCCTCTGTCTCGGCGTGGCTGCTCGTCATTTGCTGTGGTGGAGCTGGGGAGCTGGGGGTTGGTCCATGTGAATGTTTTTGGTGCTGCGTGGTAACTAGTGCTTGTTGCCTTTTTGGTGTGTGGGTCGCTTGAGATGGGTGGAACGTCGGTGCTGGTTTTGTGTAGTTGGTGTGCCCGCTGTGACCCACTGGTTGCACAGTGGGGCTCTTGTTCTCACCATAGTGTTGCTGGTACTATTGTTTCCCTTTGCCTTTACCTTTGGTTCGGGGTACCAGGGCTTGTCCGTACATCTCTGTAGTCGTGTGTCGTGGTGGTTGTTGTGCGCTGTGGTGCTGGTTCAGCAGGTGTTGTGCAGCTTGTACTTTTTCGTGTGTCGACTGGTCTAGTAGCGTTCTTGCCGAGACTACTCTTAGTATCGTTTTTGCGCTGTTCCCCTTTCCCGTTCCCTGCGGTGCCAGGCGGGGTTAGGAAGTGTAGTCGGAGTCGTGGTCGTCGGTCGGTGCACGCAGGACGCCGTTGTCGAAGACATGAGCCTGTTGTGTTATCGTGGTGCAAGTAACGCAGGAGAAAGAAAGCACATCCAAGATGCAAGGACTGAACGATGGGTGTGTAAGTGGGAGAATCACACAGGACGTAAGGGGTATTGGATCTTTAGGGTGATTTGCGATCGTGGCTGGCCCCCTGGGGCTGACCCTCTGCCACGGGCTCCTGGGCCCGAGGCTTCCCCCCTCCCTCCTCCGCCTCCGCCTCCTCCTCCTCCTACCCCCTTCTCTTCCTCCTCCTCCTCCTCTTCCTCCTCCTCCTTCTCCCCCTGCCCTTTCCCCTGGCGACCCGCAGGTCGTCCTTGCCGCCGTGTCGAGGCACTGGGAGGCGCTCGCCCATGCCGAGCCGGCCTTGCAAGCCGATGACGAGGCGGTCCATGGGTCCCCTTCGCGGTCAGTCCAATCCAATTCCCCCCAGGGAGGTGGAGGAGCAGGAGGGGTAGAAGAGGAAGAAGGATGAGGCGCCGACGACGAGTCAAGACGATATGAGCCGGCTCAAAGGCGTTCCATAAGTTATGTTTCATGGTCGGACTTGTGCCCGATCACGGGCTGCGCGCATCGGCGCGTGTCCGCGGCGGGCGGGTGCCTGCGCTAGTGGCCAGACACTCCGCAGCGGGCCCCGAGCAGCTGTGCCGCCGCACCGCGCATCAGCGCGGCGTCCAGCTGGGTGCGCTGGCGGCTCTTCGGGCGGTCAGGCGGAGGGCCCCTCTTTGGTGGGCGCGCCTGGCGGAAGCCAGCGCGCTGTGCTCCAGCAGGGCCATCACTTGCGCCTGCAGTGTGCCGAACGCCTTGTGCTCGGCGGGCCCGCCCGACCTGCCCCTGTTCAGCGGGTGGCGGTCTGCTTCCTCCTCGACCTGGGCGGCGTGCTCCGCGCTTCCTGCCTCATGAGCGGCCCCCCAGCTGGTCGGCCACGGACATCGTACCACTGACGACGACGTCGATCAGGCATTCGAGAAATTCCCTGACTCCCTGGACGTCCAGCCACGCCATGGCGCCACTGATGGAATACTCAGGGACGAGCAGCTGCCGGCGGATTTATCCGTTGGCTTCCGCGAGGATTTCCGAGTAGACGTCGTCCAGGTCGTCATGGCGGCGTGTCCAGAATGGGCGGCGCTCGCACGTGACGGGATGATTGCCGTGTGCGATGCGGGGGGAGGAGGAGGCCCTAGGGCGCATGCTGAAGGATATTCGCCGCCGTTGGGCCCTGCGCCCAGGCCGTCTTCGGTCGTGTATCGATCGAGGCAGGCGGCAGCCTGGGCTTGCGGCATACTCGGGCCATGCAGCACTGCTGATTTTCCAGAATTACCTAACAGCTCTTGCTGATAGGTTTCTAGTGGTGTCAAAGGAGAGCATCTTGACGCCCCAGGGGGGTCTGGGCGGGAACCGGACAGGGGATCCGGCAGGATCCGGCAGCCCCAGGAATCCTGAGGAATCCTGAGGATTTCTTAGGAATCCTTGGGAATCCATTCCCAGAACACCATTCCCAGGCCACAATTTGAATGCCCGGAGCCAACTGTAGGCCACTTCGTGATCTTCGTGTTCCCAGAGCACCATTCCCATGCCACATTTTGACTTCCCGGAGCCAGCTGTAGGCCACTTCGTGTTCTTCGTGTTCCCACAACACCATTCCCAGGCCACATTTTGAATGCCCGGAGCCAACTGTAGGTCACTTCGTGTTCTTCGTGTTCCCAGAACACCATTCCCAGGCCACATTTTGAAAGCCCGGAGTCAACTGTAGGCCACTCCGTGTTCTTCGTGTTCCTGTAGCATATTTTGATTGCCCGGAGTCAACTGAGGGCCACTTCGTGATCTTCGTGTTCACTTCGTGTTCTTCGTGTTCCCTGAACATCATTCCTGTACCATATTTTGATTGCCCGGAGCCACCTGTGAGCCACTTCGTGATCTTTGTGTTCCCAGAACACCAGCCCTGTGCCATATTTTGAATGCCCGAGCTGAGGCAGGCTGAGGACGAGGCAGGCTGAGGCCGAGGCAGGCTGAGGCTGAGGCTGAGGCGCGTCGAGGCTGAGGCTGAGGCTGTGGGTGAGGCTGAGGCTGGGGCTGAGGCAGGCTGAGGCCGAGACGCTGAGGCTGAGGCTGACGCAGGCTGAGGCCGAGGCAGGCTGAGGCTGAGGCTGAGGCAGGCTGAGGTTGAGGCAGGCTGAGACTGAGGCTGAGGCAGGCTGTGGCTGAGGCTGAGGCTGATGCAGGCTGAGGCCGAGAGGCTGAGGCTGAGGCTGAGGCAGGCTGAGGCTGAGGCTGAGGCTGAGGCCGAGGCAGGCTGAGGCTGAGGCTGAGGCAAGCCGAGGCAGGCTGAGGCTGAGGCTGAAGCTGAGGCAGGCTGAGGCTGAGGCTGTGGCTGAGGCTGAGGCAAGCTGCGGCTGAGGCAGGCTGAGGCTGAGGCTGATGCAGGCTGAGGCCGAGGCAGGCTGAGGCTGAGGCTGAGGCTGAGGCAGGCTGAGGCTGAGGCAGGCTGAGGCTGAGGCAGGCTGAGACTGAGGCTGAGGCAGGCTGTGGCTGAGGCTGAGGCTGAGGCTGAGGCTGATGCAGGCTGAGGCTAAGAGGCTGACGCTGAGGCTGCGGCAGGCTGAGGCTGAAGCTGAGGCAAGCCGAGGCAGGCTGAGGCTGAGGCTAAAGCTGAGGCAGGCTGAGGCTGAGGTTGTGGCTGAGGCTGAGGCAAGCTGCGGCTGAGGCAGGCTGAGGCTGAGGTTGATGCAGGCTGAGGCTGAGGCAGGCTGAGGCTGAGGCTGAGGCTGGGGCAGGCTGAGGCTGACAGATATGCTTATACACATCGCTGTCAAGTTGCTTTCCCGGGGGACTGTGTGTATGCCGATGAATGCGTATATACATACATATATATAGTATGTAAGTGTATGTCTCTCTATATAGATGTATATGTATGTATGTATGCACATATGTATATGTGTATGCATGTATGTATGTATGTATGTAAGTATGCATGTATGCATGTATGTATCAATGCATGTCTATGGTTATACCTATATACATATACATGTGTTCACTTATATGTATTTGGTTTATGTCTTTATGATTATTATTAGTAGTATTAGTATTATTATTATTATTAATTTATTTATTATTATTATTACTATTAGTATTCCCCATATCCTGAGGATTGGGGTTATTGTTATTACTCTGACGCCTCCCACTTGCGGGGATTCCGCTTCCAAGGTTCTCGTGAGGGCTGCCATGATATGAATGGCGCCAGTAGCGAAGAGAGCAAGAAGATAGAGATCCTCGCCCAACCGAATCCCTAATGGCCAAAAAGCCCATGCATATGATTGGTACTTATCGCCATCACATCGAGAGGCAACGAAGAACCACATGAAGCATGCTGTATAAGAACTAAGGCCTAAAGGGATTTGAGAAATTCGAGCAGAAAGCTAGGATGAATAGTAAAGATATTGAGATCTGAGAGCCTGAGACTTGAGCTTAAGTCTCAGCCTCAGTTTATTGGAGAGAACAAAAAATGGTTTCCTAAAACAATTGCGCGTGCTACATGCGGTTAATCAGTTTCACATGTTCTTGCGCGCCCTACTTCGCATTCGATGTGCGCGCTCATTTTCTCGATTCTGACGCGCATGATCGGTTCTTCGCAAGTGACCCGCGTTTTCAAAATGGCAATGTTCCTTCCGCGGGCCGGTGTGATACTGCGTTCAGAAGAGTTCAGCTGCCGAAGTCTTGCCGACGTAGCGACGCGAGCTCATGGGCTCGATGGCGTGCGTCTTTGATCGCGAGCTCGGAGAGTGGCGAGAAGGGCATTGCTGTAGGCTTATGTTGGTCAACGGGCAAAATTACTGCCGACCATGACTCTCCGACCAACTCCGCGTTCGCCCATGCCGGCCGCGCGCGTCTTCGGTTCGCGCTGGCCGGAAAGCGGGGCGATGTCCAAATTGAGTTCGGGGCCGCTGGGGTCAAGGAGGTCGCGCCCGGCGCGGCGAAGCGACGGCGCGGGGCCCGCGAGCGCTCTGCGGTTGCAGAATGCTTCCCGCCCATGTGGACAGCGCAGCCGCCGGGGCAGCGCGGCGCGCGGGCCCCGGCAAACGGCGACGGGCGGGGCGTTGATGCAGATGCAACTTGGCCGCAGCAGCACTGGCAGCCAGACGCGGTGATGGAGCTTGGCTAGCGACTCTACAGTGGCGCCGTACTTACACCAGCGACCGTAACGCCATAATAACACCATCGACCGCCCCGCCGAAATGGACGTGCAAACCGCGGCGCGTCTAATGCCGATCCCCGTCTGAAAATTGGGATGGTCATCGTGACCTTCGCAACGTTGCGAGAAGTTGGCGGTCGTGACAGACGCCCGGGACATGGCGACGCGGACGCGTAATTTCAGAGCCAGCACGGCGCGCGAAGCAAGGTCGGCCAACATCGCGAGGACATCTTCGCAGATGACGAAGGCGCTTCATGACGCCTGGCCCCGCTGGGAACCGGTCGCAAGGCCGGCGTGGCACCGGGGAGCAACGCGGCGAGCATCCTGCATCTAGCGATTAATTGGTTCGAAGCCGCGCGAGAAGCTCCAGCATTCTTGCGCTTGTCCAGGATAGGCCTGAATATGTTCATTTGCCCGCCCCCCCTGCCTGCAGCGGATCGCTCGTCCGCTGCGGCTGTCTCCAGGGCTCGAAGAGGGCGAGCGCAATCCTGTTTTGGCAGTCTTGCGCGGTCATCGTGGGCCGACGAGGAATGAAGAAGCCGACGGGCACAGCGTCTTGTCGCTGTGAATGCCATCCGGTCCAGGATAATGACGGTGGGAGCGTTGCAGACCGCCCAGTTGTTGCGAGCGCCGCGGGTTCGGGTTCTTGATCATGGCGCTGGGGGCGCTTGATCGCGGGCGGGTCGCGGGCCGCGAGTTCGACGTTTTTTTTTGTCTGCTGAGTTCTCGGTCGGCCCCCCCCCCGTTGTCGGCGACCCCTGGGGGTGCCAGTTCGCGCCGCTGCTCGTTTGAATAGATATCGGCCGCCGCCGTTCTGTTATTTGCCCCTGTTGATTTCCTTCCACCGCTTCATCTATTTTTTCTTCTTCCTCGAGCCGCTAAGAATTCACTGAGGTCCAGGGCGCCTCGCGAAGTCCCTGACCATGTGTGGCTGGGCGACAGTGGCGCTGGAGCGAATCGCCGCGCGCCCCAGCCAAGCGCGGCCTTCCCCCCCGAGGAAGCCGCGCCGCGGAACCCGCGTTCGTGGCCGTTTGATGGTTTCATTGCTGTTGCAAGCGCGGCAACCTTCAACAGCGTCGATCTCGAATAGGCGCAATATAGCGTGGGTGCCAAGACTTGGAAAACATCGCACCCGCCCCTCGCGCCTGAACCTGTTGATAGATAAGAACGGGCACGCCGCTCTCGCAACGAGGGAT